TATAGCATGTTAAAGCAGTATTGTGTTAACACAGCCAATGCTCAACTGTGAGAATTGCGTGTTAATAATGTTGGTTATTGTTTTCATTGAGACAGTTGTTCAGTGGCTATGCACACACATACAAACAAATTGGTCATGGGGGTTGCAGTGTTGATCACTACTGGTTGTAGATGGCCATCATCACATGTCTCAACCAATGAGAGCCTATGTTCTGTAGGGCTGCTGCCAGCTGTGAGCCCTATCAGAAAATGAGCAATGAGGACAGAAACATGGAGAAACATACCATATTTACTTGGGCATTATTGTTCTAAAACTTTTCCCGAAGGCAGGCAGGATAGAAGTAAAGTTATCTGTCAGCACTGCAGTGCTGAGCTGTCTTACTAGTGGAGTAGTTCAAACCTGAAATATCATTTAAATTCAAAACACACCGTTGATGCTAACCAATTACCCATCGAAATAAACAATGGAGAGAGGCCTCTGCAGATGAAGATGGATGCAGCGTGTGGGAGAAAAAAACAAAACAAAAGCAAAACAGGCTAACAGATGCTGTATCAAAGTGGATAGCTACAAACTGCAGACCAGTTAGTTAGCATTGTCGAAGATGTCGGTCTGTGTGACATCTTTAGGACTGCAACAAATTATGTATGAGCATCCCTCAAAGCACACCATCACAAGGAGTCACAAATTGTATGCAAAAGAGAAAGCAGCTATAAAAGACACAGTGTTAAAACGTGCACCAACTGTTGCTCTCACTGGAGAACACTGGGCATCACCGGGTAATCATATCTTCCTCAGAGTTACAGTACATTACAGTATATTCATGAACAGTGGAAGCTCAAATAAAGTCAGCACACAGCACACAGTGCAAGAAACATGATGGCTGCTGCGAGACATCTGCCTTTTGAACATGTTCCCTGCATTGTGCACAGTCTCCAGCGTTCTGTCCCCATGCCTCTGCAGAACAATGTGTTTGACAATGTCCTCGTCAAATGCAGAAAAGTTGTGGGCCATTTTTAACACCTTACAACAAATGCTGCAGAATGAGAACAACAACAGACTGAGCATGCACAAGAGAAAGAATTACTCATGCAAGATGTGTTCCCATCAGATGGAATTCAACTCTGGACATGATCAAAAGTGTCTACAGGAATGAACAGCCACTGAGACACGTCCTTGTCAAACACAAGACCAACACTGCCATGTCCACTTCAGCTGAAATGGACAAACTGTAGAGGTTGGAAATGCTCTGGGGCCCTGCAGGTATATTTTATTTAATGTTTTTCTCATTTTCCTGTGTGTAAGAAAGAAATAGTGTCTGTATGTGTGTAAATATCCCATGAATATGTAAAGGACACTTTTTGTTAATATGAGTAACTAGATGCAATTTGATTTGTCTGAAATAGGTTTGACTTTTTGTTGTTGCAGGTTTGTAACTGAAATCCTGGAAGGACAATTTCGTTCTCTGTTGTACCACTTGCTTTTTGCCATCTCTCTCAGGTGATGGAGAGCTCTGATGATCATCCTGCCTACGTGGTAAAGTTCAAGTCTGCATTCAGAGCAGACCTGGAGACACGCAAGCAAAATGCCAACATTGCATACCTGAAGATCACTACTGCATTAGACTTAAGATTCATCTATCTCAAATGTAGACCTGAGAGGGGCCTAAGTCACTAATTTACTTTAAATGGTAAATGGTAAATGGACTGTACTTATATAGCGCCTTTCTATTTTATTTCAAAATACTCAAAGCGCTTTACACTACAATCTGTGTCCTCATTCACCCATTCATACAGCACTCTACTAGATCTTTACAAAGCTAATTGAACAAATTGTTCTAATGAGTGCTTTATCACATTCATACGCCAATGGGACACACATCAGAGGCAACAAGGGGTTCAGTGTCTTGCCCAGGAACACTTCGACATGTGACTGCTGGTGGATTCGAATCCCCAACTCTCGCATTGGAGGATGACTGCTCTAACCACTCAGCCACAGCTGCCCTTAAAGACGGTGCAGAGAAATCTGTGGAAGCAACATCATCAGAGCCACCAAGTGTGACCTGCTAGCTGCTTCATCAGAGTCTGACTCTGATCAGGAGGAAGACTCGTTTGAGAACAGTGTGTGTTGATACAAAGTGGTGCCCACCAGTAGAGGCCTGCCTCTGAGTGTGGTGGTCCAAACATGCAGGAGCACACAGCAGGCTGGCCTCTGTTGCTCTTGGCCACATCTGCAACATCTGTACCTGGTGAAAGGCTGTTTGCTCTTGCTGGTCATGTTGTACAGAAGAGGAGAGTTTCTCTGTCATCAGAAAATGTAAATGACCTTGTGTGTCTCAACAACTGACTTGGTGCTTTGTGTCATTACTCAGCCTTAATCACTGAAAGTTCGCTTTGATTCTTTTGACTGAAATTATCCTAAAGAAATCCTGTGCAAACAGGTACTATAAAGATTAAAATCTCTCCTGCACAGTCAATTATGTCTGTTTTATTATTATTATTGTTATTATTATTACTGTGCATGACCACTTGACTATTATCTAATAACACTTGTTACTCAATATGACCTGTTTATGAAACTCCCTGATATAAAACGTTTCTGTACTTTTTCTTTTTGCTTGTACTTTTTCCACAAAAAAAAAGACATATATATTTTTTAATTTGTTGTTAATCATTTGGGATTTGAAGGTGTCTTGGTTTCCTCTAAATGAAAACAATAATGCCCTGGCAAATAGCTTTGATTTCATATTTGACAATATTGTCTATGTCTACGTTGAGATTCAAATACTTTAACCACAGGGGGAATAGTGCTGTTAAAAAGTGCTCTATTTGTTTAATTTTTTTTGAAAATGTATGGAACTTTTTTATATATAAAACAATACTTAAAAATATTTAGAGCATTTTAAAGTCATAATTTAATCTATGATCAATCTAAAAAATGTCTTGAGATTCAATGTGATTAAACATTTTGATCCTTGCCCAGCACTCATGTATGTATATATATATATATATAT